TAGCCATTAAATTCTAAATCAGCCTATATTTTTTGAAAAACAATAGATTTTAATCTGAGGTTGAAAGGTTAATCTTTATGATAAATGACATGGTTCTTTACCTTCTGGAGCATGTGTGCTGTGATTATGCACCTTTTCCTCAGCCGCTTTGATTTATCCCAATGTCAAAAAATACACAGCGTTAACAATGCCTGTCTGGGCCATAAACAGTTCGCAGAAGAGACTCTTAACCACAACAGTTTCAACTTACTGCTTATAATATAGGATTGGAATGGTTTCCAATATGTTGCATTGTATTTGTATTACAATTTTACAGTGTTTTTACATTTTGCATCCCAAACTTTTTGGGAACAGGGTTTTAATATATGCAAATCTAATGTGATTGTGAACATTGTGACCTAGTCTTTATGTCATTGGATCTTCTTCTGTTCTGCAGTGGCTCTGTGTCCCCTTCACCTTAATGAACCCCCACTCTATGGACATTACTAAGACTGCTTTCAACTTTACCTACCAAGCCCCCTGGATTGGTTCTGTAGATAAAGAAAGTCTATGGAGATGGATTGATAATTTCTTATTATTGGTAAGGCCTGCATTTATTTTTATTTAGGACTGAATTTGTAAAAGCAACAAACACAGAAAAACATTAGCAGTTGCAGAGACCAAGACAGATTTCTAGCACTAGTCTCTTGATGGGTATTAAAAGATCGAAATGTTTAAAATGAAGGTCACTAAGTACAAACAATCATCCAAAATAAACTATGTGAATGACCACGGCAGATGCCGTGCAGGTCCGGATCAGCGCCACCGCCTTCTCCTGCGGCGTGGCCGCCAGCTCGGCCACCATTTGCACCAGCTCCTCCCTCTGCTAGCCAAGTCCTGGGTCTGCCGTGCCTCCCATCCTGGGTTTCGTCACCACTGTGAGTGACCACAGCAGACCCGGTGACATTAACATGCTTTGCAGCATTCTTTATTAGCACACACACGGTTAAAGTGAGTATTTAAGTAATCAAGTTATCAAAACTCAAACCAAGCAGTGACTCACCTATAAATGGATCCGTTTCAAAAAGCAGTTTTCATACTCTGGCTATCAAGCAGATGAAATCCAAGTTGGGAAAAGTGGTTTTAGTATCAGTTCCAGGTCAGA